AGGAAGAGTGTCGTATATTGAGCGCAGCAGGATGGAGATGCAGTAGGGATCCAATCTCCACAACTCTACTCATGTGATCTTACACTTAGGTAGGTCCCATTGTTTCTCCAGTAAATTACACGTTATTTTGTTTAGTTGTCTGTAAAATGTCACAGTTAATTATTAACGATATGGCTTGCTAACGATGAAGTTGCTGAAATGGTACCAAATTGTGGTTTTCCAGGAACTAGAGTTATTAAAGTCATATTTGTGCTTCAGTTTTGTTTTTGAGGTACTTAATCCAAGTTTCCCAGCGGACTGTTCAAGCAGTGAGAGCAGTAAATGAGCCAAGGGAACATCGGAGATCCCCGAAGTTAGAAAGTATCCAAAGAGAAGCACTCTTAACCATTCTGAGGCTGATTAAATCACCAGCTACTGGATACATCTGGTCATAATTAGTCACTTATGACAATAGTTGCTGAGACACTAAGTGATAGTGAACCGAAATTAATTGGTCTGACTGAATGTAGTAAATGAACTCTACATGGAGTCATGGGCTCATTATACATAGAGTGACCCATGTGTGTTTATGTCTTCCTGTTTAATGAGAAGGTTTTTAGTAATTAAAAGGAATGATCAAAACAGGATGTGCTACAGAGAACAGTAAGTACTCTTAGTGTTTTGATAATTTGCACTTTACTGAAGAGGATGTCCTGTCCTTGTCCTGGTCCCAAGACATAACCTCAAAATAATTTGCATCCCCCTTATTTCCCCCACAATTATTTTAATGTTTATCACAATTATTAGGGCCCGAGCACCCTATTGTTTTTGCTCCGTTTATAATAATAAATAAAATAAAATAAATAATAATATTATCCTCCAAAGTGTATCGCATATTTGAGGGCCTTAAAGGTGCCATATGGAATAATTGAGGTAAAAATATCCAAAAAATGAGCTACACACATCAAAAGAATGAGAAGAAATAAGTGCAATGATGTAATTAAAAAACTGACAAGTTATAGTGCTGCCGAGATATAAACCTAAATTAGCATGCTAAATTACTAGCCCCGGCCCGGCAGGTGTCGTAATACCAGTTTTGGCCATGGGAGGCGGTATGCGGGCGGGCAACGTTACCACCAGCCAAATACGAGTGAGTCGCGCTCGCGCCGGCTTGTGTGTGTACTTGAACCTGATGTCAGTCGTGTGGAAATACAGCCCACTACTACATTTCAGTTCAGGGAAGAGTTCCAAAAATGATTGGTCGACATTATGCATGAGGAATACATTTTGGCAAGTTGTAGCATACTGTATCTTTCAACAGAGTTCATGTTTTTTATTCATTAGCTAGTAGAGATGATCGGTTCACGTGCGCTAGGGATCTGTCGTCTAACATTTACAAGCGCCAAAACTGCATTTATTGTTTGAATTGCGTAATAAAATTGACAGAATCTGAGAGCTTAACTAACCTGCTTGCTAAGTGTCAATTGCATGTGTCTCACGGTGAATTCGTGAGAGTTGGCAGCTCTGAATGGCGCTAGCTTGATCAACATCAGTGAATGCTGTCTGTCAAATTAATTCAAACTAATGATAAAAGTGGAATATGAACAAAACGAATACAGTAAACTTAAAATAATATACCAGGCTTTTATTTGTTCATATATCGTCGAAATGCACCGGCTTGTATTTGAGACAGGCGTCTATGAGACGGTCTTCATCATTTAGTGTTGAGATGTTGTTCATTGAGTCTCTGATCTCTAAAAATCTCCAAATGCTCCACGTGAAACTGCGGTCTTCCAACCTTTTACTATCATGTCAAATGATAAATACGCATTTCCCAGAGAGGTTGGAGGGGGGTGTCCTCAGTCAGCTAAACCCCCCAAAGATCAACAAGCACATCTTTTTTACTTCTAACCTTACTGTGAAGTTATACTAGTTAGACCGTTTTATAATGTTTTAGGTTATGATTTCGGTTCTCATACCGGTTGTTGATACGCTAGCACACGCTAATAAATACAACGTTATACTTGTGTAGTCTGTTTGCTTTGTAATAACGATTGAAGAAGTGAATAGAGACCTACCCAGCTTTGCATGAACAGTGTTACTCCCTGATATTGTTAGTCCCAGCCTCCGTCTCGATTAGTAGGATATGTGGTGGTTCATCTGTGACCAGTAACGTTATGCTTTTGCTTCTATTTTGGATGCCTTGTCGTTTCTTGCGTTTCACCTGTATGTCTTGAATATAGCCTTCGAATGCATATTGCAGCCCCTTTTGCCTTTTGCATTTTAGCTGGAAGAGCTGTTACAGCATAAGGCATGCAAAGCGCAGATGAAGTTTGAAGGATGTAGCAACAGTAACTAAGGGGGGTGGGGCTTAGCCAAAGGTGAATTGGGTGGGGCAAACAAATATTTCGACTAATTTCAGGTACGTGGACGAAATTCGGTACATGCATGTAATGACACAATACCTACTAAAAATTCTCTTGGAGCATAGCCCTAAACATAACAGAAAGTCTGCCATTTTGAACTACCTCTCCAATTTTTGTGCAGTTTTTGCCATTTTCAGGCCTCGTACTTTAATGAACTCCTCCAACAGTTTTGATCTGATCCTCTTCAAATTTGGTGAGTGTAATCTTAAGGCCTTTGTGATGTTAAATTATTTTCGTCGAAAGATGTGCCCTCAGCGGCCTGACAAATGTAGATGTGCAAACCCAATTTCAGTCTCTGGGTGAAATGTGCATCATCAGATAAGTTCTGTGCAGGGGCCAAAGAGTAAAAGTCCTGCCATATGTTTATTCCACCCATAAACTCAGTCATCTGGGCTGCGTTCAACCCCGACAAAACATTGCATAACGTTTTTTAAATAGAAAATGTCATGTGTTGAACGCACTGCTGTTCAACTTCTAATTGATGCAATTATCTGATCAACCAATCACATGGCAGTTTCTTCAATGCATTTAGGGGTGTGGTCCTGGTCAAGACAATCTCCTGAACTCCAAACTGAATGTCAGAATGGGAAAGAAAGGTGATTTAAGCAATTTTGAGCGTGTCATGGTTGTTGGTGCCAGACGGGCCGGTCTGAGTATTTCACAATCTGCTCAGTCACTGGGATTTTCACGCTCAACCATTTCTAGGGTTTACAAAGAATGCTGTGAAAAGGGAAAAAACATCCAGTATGCGGCAGTCCTGTGGGCGAAAATGCCTTGTTGATGCTAGAGGTCAGAGGAGAATGGGCCGACTGACCTCCATGTTTTCCCTATTTAAATACAGTTACACGAGTAGTGTAACTCGACCAATAATGGTGACACAAAATAAAAGGTTGCGCTTTACTAAGCGTGTAAAGTGGATAGCTATAATGTATGGCGGCATACCATAGCAAGTGCTTGGGAGCACTTCGACTCAGCGCAGTAATCATCACTCCGGAGAAGGAGAGGGGGAAGAGGATTTTTCACTTGCTGTGGTATTCGAGCCTGTTCTCATCCTTTAGCGTCACATAGAAAGCTATATGACAAAATGGCGCTATACTACGCACATGGCACATCTTTATCGTTAATATTCACGCGAACCCAAGGCGTCATAAATCCTTTAGCGTAATATGAGACTACCCTACCCTACCCCACACCTAAATCTACCCATCACAGCGCGTGTTATATTAACGATAACGGGTGCCATGTGCGTAGTATAGCGCCGTTTTGTCCAGCCCGTTCTCATCCTTTAACGTCATATAGAACGCTATATGCAAAAACGGCGCTATACTACGCACATGGCATCCTTTATCGTTAATATAACACGCGAACCCAAGACGTCATAAATCCTTTAGCGTGAATATGACACGGTAAACTTAGCCCTCACAGCGCGTGTTATATTAACGATAACGGGTGTCATGTGCGTAGTATATCGTTTTGTCATATAGCGTTCTATATGACTTATGAAAAGCATAACGTTCTATATGATGCTAAAGGATGAGAATGCGTTGGGTATTCCCCCATATATTATCGCTATCCATTTTACATGCTTAGAAAAGCACGTTTTATTTTGTGTCACCATTCTACACTACTCGTGTAACTGTATTTAAATAGGGAAAACGTGTTTGGTCGCTTCTCTGCTTGGCCATATTGAATGAACTGGGCTAGTTAAGTGCTATCAAAGTGTCTCGCGTGCCAGAGCGATTAAGTGCACGCACTGAGATGAGAGGGGTATGTATCAACTCGTCTTAGTTTAGGGCATAACATAGTTTAATCCCTTTAAGTATCCCTTTTCAGCCACTTTAGTCACTTGGACTATTTTAGCGATGTATTTACCAACTTTTCTGGGCCGGCATATGTAATTACTGAGTAGCCTATGAAGGAGTGAGACAGCTCTCAGATTTCATCAAAAAATATCTTTGTGTTCTGAAGATGAACGAAGGTCTTACGGGGTTGGAACAACATGAGGGTGAGTCATTTGATTTTACTGACGTAATTTTAATTTCCTGGTGAACTATCCATTTAACATAATGTCCAGCTTACTTAAGCTAGACAATGACACTATTTTCTTCAAGAGCTGCTGAACAGGTGAAACAAACTTTGTTGCATTATTTTCCTATTATCACTGTAAAGCTGTTTTGAAACAATCTGTATTGTAAAAAGTGCAGTATAAATAAAGGTGACGTGACTTGACTTGTCAATGATGTTGCAAGAGTTTACACTGCCTTACTGGACAATTAGAGAAAAATAAAATAACAAATAACTTTGATGTTACAATCTTTACGTAATTATTCTATCTATGCTATAGCAACTAAAACCACAAACATGAACCCCCTCAGCAGAGCTAATTAACCGAGACAAAAATTATCTAGTAATTGGTTCATTCTTCCTGCAACCATAATTTCATCTGCGTGTTTGAGTGGATGGAATGAGGTCATTAGGTCAGTGGCTGTATAGTTTGTTGTCTTATTCCTATGGGAGCATAGATCAAACTCACTGTATATATACTCCCATTCGAATGGCTTCAGGTCTTAATGTGGGCCCCGTATTCTACGACGAATGACCAAACAACAGAGAAGCCAAGACACCCAGGCAGGTATGTTATCATGCAGCCGAATCTTAGCAATTATGACCAAAGTGAACAGAATTTTTTTATTTTTTTTCCCCATTTAAATGTAAGAATGAATGTATATTCATATTGAAAATAAACTTGTAAGACTTATAATTGCCTTTGTTTTGGGATGGTTACCAGTGATGTGATTGTTGTGATGTTGCAATTTTCCAATTTTGACAACTTTTAAATATATATATATATACATTTTTATTTGTTTTGTTGACAGGTCTTTTAACGTACCAAAGGTACTTTGTTGTAGTTGTTACCAATGCAGGGTGAGAAATAGCCTGGGTACAAAGTCATGAAATGCCAACTCATGCACGAAAAAATCTTTAAGAAAGGCTGATACTGGATAATGTACCAGACAATTGGTGAATATTTCATAGATGATGCATTTGCTGTTATTGTGTCTAGCTTTCAATTCATTGAGAAGCTAAATATGTGATAATAGCCATTTAACATAGAGGTCACAATGTATTGCTAAACTATATGGGTCATTCCAAACAAGATGGTCATTTAATTCCATCAAGTGATAAATATTAATCATTTTGTCCTTACCCTGTAAAATAGGTTACAACGACCACATTCAGAGTGCCATGTTTGAGGAACTCCAAGAAGCAAACATCTCGCATACAAAGTTCTTGTTTATGGGATTCCCAGAGATTTACAAATACAGACGTCTGCTTTTCCTGCCATTTTTTGTAAGTTACATTTTGGTCGTGCTGGGGAATTCTTTGTTGCTTTTCGTGATCAAAAATACAGAAAGTCTTCACAGTCCAATGTACATTCTAGTGTCTGCTTTGGCGGTTGTCGACATCATTGTACCCACTGCCATTATCCCAGCAATGCTTCTTGGTTTCCTCTTTGACTTGAATGAAATCTCTTTAACCGGGTGCTTGACACAAATGTTTGTTACTCATTTCTTTTCTTCTGTAGAGTCGACCATACTTTTAGCTATGGCTTTAGATCGCTTTGTGGCCATTTGCAAGCCATTGCATTACACTGAAATCATGAACTCGGCCATGTTTTTGAAACTGCTTGTTTTTACATTGATCAGAAGTGGCACTATAATGTTCGCCCTGATTGCTTTGGCTTCACTTTTGTCTTTTTGTGGGTCTAATGTTATCCATCATTGCTACTGTGACCACATGGCTCTTGTTAGCTTGGCCTGTGATTCAATAAGCAAAAATAATGCAATGGGATTAGTTGTGATAATCTGTTTTGTGGGAATTGACATATCTGTTATTTTCTTCTCTTATGTGAAAATCTTGCATGTTGTGTTGGGGGCTGCAGCTGGAGAGGATCGTTGGAAAGCCTTTCATACCTGTGGTACACACTTAATGGTTATGATGTGTTTTTACTTTGTGGGGAGTATTACCTTTCTATCACGAAATCTTAACATTCCAATCCCAGTCGATGTAAATACTTTTCTGGGTGTTACATATATAGTATTTCCTGCAAGTGTCAATCCGATCATTTATGGTGTGCGAACAAAAGAAATAAGGAATGCTTTATTGAAAATGTTCAAAATAAATATAAATAAAGTTTCCATTGTAAAGGTTTCATCAATAAAGATTTAAGTGTCTGGAAAGTCATTCAATTTGACACGTTGTCTATCTAGTAATCTCAGCCATTGAAATTGAAATGTTTGTTGTCCTATAAAGTGACTTTCATTGTCAGAAATAGTGATCATCGCCAATGAATAAACCATGTTATCTGCATCCTCAGAAGAATTAAAGTCTGTTCAAACATAAGTTCTTGGATTTTTTTCTATAAAATTGGAAGTTTCAATGAAAATGGAAATGGAATTTGCTTGTAGCTTTAAGATTACATATCTTACCTGCTAACAATCAAGTGGAGGGATCAAGAAGTTACTAACATAACAATTCAAAAACATTCCTGTTTTATTACAGTTAGTTATATGAACAATTAAAAAAGTGGGGGCAAATGTTCTCATCAGCCTCTTTTAACAAGAAATATATGGCTTTGGCTTAATGTTTTCAGTAGTTATATAGGTAGTATTTAGTCATTACACTGATGCCCTGAAAAATTCTTAATCCAAAGCTTACTCCAGGACTATCAAGTTTTGGATGAAAGTAGCTTCCTATAAACAACTTTAAAAAAATTTTAAGTTGTGACCGCTAATATCTGTGCATATTTAGGTTCATTTCATAAGTCTCATGAAAACAGCAACAAATTAAATTATCTCGACACACATTGCCAATACAGTATCTGTTTACATAAGAAGGCACAGGTTGGTAATTTGCTCAAACTCATTATACTTATTGTGCTAACTCCAACGAAAGGGCTCTAAATTAAGCAGTGACAACAGATTAAATGAGTTTAGGGATCATCCGAAAATCCCAAAGTGATCAAGTGTGCAAAGAGAGGGCCAATTATAACCACTTCAAAACTAATTAAATAACCATCTACTAGATACATCTGCTCATAATTGGCCACTCGTGACTGAGTTACTGAAAATGTTAATGAACATAAACTGACAGGTAAAGTAAACAAAAGAGCAATTTACATCACCATGTGTGCATATGGTTTTATTTAGTTTAGTTTATTTTATGTCACATTTAAAAACAACGTGAGGTGGCCAAAGTGCTTTCCATTAAAACAATATTCCAAAAAATACAAAAAAACATTAAACACAAACCAAAAAGACACTTAGAATGCAAGACAAGATAAAACAAGGTACAATCAACTGCCAGCTCAACCACGCCTGGGCAAGGAAATGAGATTTAAAAATACCAAATGTAGTACAACATCTAATGTCCAAAGCAGTTTATTCCAGAGGCAAGGTGCAGCAACAGTGAAGGCACAATCCCCTTTGGACTTTTGACTAGATTTAGGGATCTTTAACAGTAATGTTTGAGATGACCTAAATGGCCTTGTCGTCTGATAAACCTGGAGAAGATATTCCGGTGCTAGACATGCAAGGCCTTAAAAACAAATATTAAAACATTATTCTGGACCCAGAAGTTAACTGGGAGCCACTGCAGTGAAGCTAGTACTGGGAAAACACTGACCTGCTTCTTCCAGTCAAAGCTGCTGCATTTTGTTAGAGGCGATTCAACATTATACAAGTGTGGCATGATGGGTAAAACACACTTGACTGGCACTAAGGCCTAACTACTTATCAAATAAATGCAGTCATTCAAAAGTCAGTCACTGCAAAACTAATAAAACATTTCACTCAGAAGCTTTTGGCTGAGGGCTAAAAAACAAGGTATATTCAATTCAAATGTATTTGTATAGCGCTTTTCACAATACATACTGTTTCAAAGCAGCTTTACAGAAAGTGCATTTCAGAAATGTACGTGGAAAAATACATTTAGTTAATTTATATATTTATTTAGTTAAGTAATAATTTAGGGCATAACATATCGCTGGCGCTGAGTCGTCTCTTCACAAGCGTTGAGTCTTCTCTTCACAGGCTAATAATGCATTACAGTAATCTAGTCTCGAGGTTATGAATGCATGAACCATCTTGACTTCACGCTGACCGACTTTCGTGGCATGTCGATCAATTCTCTAGGAGGAGTACTTTAAATTCCATTACATCTGTTTTCCAAACAACCCTAAATAGCCGACTTCCTGTTAGGCTGGCGTAAAATTTAGAGCAGGAAAGTTGTTCGCCCCGATGAGTTCTATATGTGTACCGAGTTTCATATTATTACATGCAAGTGTGTTTGATTTATGGACCAAGTTTTCAGACCCCGTTCCATGGGGCGGCTAATTAGTAATTAGCAAGCAAGTAAACATTTCATCTGAAGCCGGGCTGAATAAATAAACACTGTTATTGCACTCCTGACCTAGACCAGACCCTCAGTCACCTCAGAATGAATAAGAAATAGGTTATAGATTAGTAAGAAAAACAAAACCATCAATTCAAACATAATTAACAAAGGTAGAATAAAATGCCTCATTTCAAACCCTGTCCTTGTACGCCACCTCATAACATGGATGACGGCTGTTTGTAACCTTCTTTACAATCTTTTGCCCTTAATCATTCTCAGAAAAAGAAAAAATAGAACAGAAACAAACAAGACAACAACCTCTCTGTGTTTCGCTGCTTTGTTCCACTGATTCCCGCACCACTCTCAATCTTGTGGTGCCCAGTGTTCCCTCTCCAGGGAAATCATGATATTTAATTAATCTGTCCTGCATACATTTCTGCCCATAATTTTTCTCATTTGACAGAAAACCAGTGTATCATATTTGGCAAGCTTGCTTTGAGATTTCCCCATATTGGCTGTTTTCTATTTCTGTGGAATTACCATTTGACGCGCATTTATATTATGCTGGACTTCTCCAACAGATCTGATTTCTTAACCCAAGTTCAGTTAAGGGTGCACTCTGAATGCTTTATCTGCTTGAAATATCTTGACCCGGCTGCCCGATCTCAATTAATTCCTGAGTAAAGTCAACCTGAAATCTCTTGACCTGTTGCCAGGTATCAATTAATTCTGGACTGTGATCTGCTTGAATTACATTGATCTGTTCCCAAATCTCATTTAATTCCAGACTCTTTTACGAGAACTCAGTGCCCACATGAAATCTCTTGACCTTCTCTCAGGTCTCAATTAATTCTGGACATATCTTGTACCTACATCACAGAAATACCTCAGCCACTAATGTTTCTCTTAAATTTTATACCCGAAACAAAATACTTTTCCCTAAAAGAGACCCTCTTACCAGAGATATCTTGGTTGCCACGGGTTTGCTTTCTTTTGATTCCAGTGGAGCTTCTCCCGAACCCGATAGTGGTCGGCCCCTCTCTCTCAAGCTTAAGAGGTAGAGCTGGAAATTCTCAGACCATGTGGCCAAACACCGTACGCTCTCGGATCCAGAAGGTACTTCCAAGGAATCCCACTTCTGACACCAAATTGTTGTGGCAAAAATTCTGTCAAACACCATCACTGCGTAAGAGACACTCAGAGTCAAATTAATAAAGAAAGAGAAGTTTTTATTCCTGCAAGAATAGGCCCAGTCGCAAGCATAGCAGTTACACTGTGGAGTGATTGAGACGCCTTCAGGGAGACATGAGACCTCTTATAGTCTTTTCAAGGTTCCTCTTCCCCCGCTGTACCTTTCACCCACCCAGATAAGGCCCTTACTGCTGTTTAGTCTCTACTTAAGGACACAAACTGGTACTGAAATAAACTGGCCAAAACTGGCCATACCTAAGGTCAGAGGTCCTGTCCCATATGTTCCTGAAACGTCACCCACAACCACGTACACAACTATATTTTACTCATGGAATAGGTTCAATGGTTCAATTTCTACCTAATCTTCACTAATGATTAAAATTTCCATAACACTCTGAATCAAAGACACCTCCCAGATTATTTGCTTGCTTATGTACATTAGAGGCAAGAGGGCCTAAACAGTCAAGTATGTTGAGTGGGTGACCTAATGCTTTACATTCTGTTTTAGCTTCATTAAGTTGTAAAAGATTCTGTGCCGTCCATAATTTAATTTCACTCAAGCAATAAATCAAAACATCTAATTGAGATCCATCACCTGCCTTCAATAGAAGATACAGTTGAGTGTCATCTGCATTACAATGATAAGCAACATTATATGTTTGACATATAAAACTGAGTGGTAACATGTAGAAAGAAAACAATATGGGCCCCAGAATTGTCATGTGTTCATGTGTTAAATAAGTTATAGCTCATCTATATAATTTAAGAGTTATATCATTTAAATGTTTCAAGCAAGAAAATACATTCCCAACAGTGATACAAATAAAAAAACGCAATCTGAAAATGTTGTTAATATGAGGTCCAATTAAACAAATCCCCATGCAATGCTGAGGGAGGGAAACATAGAATATTTAAGAGCAGGGAAGAGTTTGCTCAGTGGTAGGGAAAGACAGAGCAGGGGACAGGTAGATAAGACAGACTGTTTCATGGGAGTACAGGAGAACTTTAAGCTAAATATGAAAAACAATCATTTTGCTAATTTCTTATTGATTTTTTATGCTTAATATGTCCGAATAGGTAATGTTTTGTCACTGTTTTGTACGATTTTAAACGTTTATATTTTCATGTATTTGACATTGAGGTTAACAAGTTTATTTTTGCTGTTTTATTTTTCAAGGTCTGTACTACACACTTTAAAAAAGCAGAATGGGTGACCAATCAAACAACAACTCTTTTACTAGTTTCCAGTTAATCGGGTTCACAGACCTTAAAGGGTACCGGCCTCTACTCTTCATTCCTTTTTGCATAATCATAATCTATACATTATTTGCTAATGGCATTTTGATTATTGTCATTGCAAAACATAGAAAATTGCATGCTCCCATGTATATTTTAATTGGACTGATTGCAGCTTTGGGGTTTTTTGTGCCCATTTACTTTATTCCAAGGATGTTGGTCGGTTTTTTGTTGGACTGGAATACAATTACACGACATGAATGCCTAATACAAATGTTTTGTATGCATTTTTCTGCTTGTTTTCAGTCCACCATATTGCTTGGGATGGCTGTGGACAGATATTTTGCGATTATTTATCCTTTACGTTACAATGATTTTGTAAATATGACAAACTCACTTATTTTCTCCGCAGTTCTTAGCATTCGGAACGCACTTTCCATTATTGCCATGGTTGGTCTAGTTGTG